AAAATTACAGTAGAAGTTTCACAAGTGACTGATTTATTTCTGGAGGCTTTTGACTTGACAGTTGTCCCATCTGCTGACGTCACAGCTCAGGATAGTGATTAATGAAGGGTTTGGGAATGCTTTGAGACACAGGTGATTGGTCTCGTGAAAATTATTCTGCATACTACAGTTATTTTTTTAAATGATTTTGTCATACTGGTGCACTGCTTTAAAAACCATACAGTATGCAATAAACTTGTACCACAAACCATTTCAAACACAGTTTGATCAGAAATGGTGCAAGCATAACATACACTGTTGTTTGAGAAGATCAAAGAGTCCGCCTCATAAATGCAAAGGTTCATCATTTATTAAACACATTACGAGATTTATAGACATCATAACATTTGGATCAAAAGAAAACAACTATTATGATTCTATTGCATATTTATTTTCTAGTCATGCAATATCAAAGCTCTGGTCACTATTCATCTGCGCCAATAGGTATATTTAAAACAACAACAAAAAAGAACGAAAAAAGGGCCTTTTAGTAGAAAGGGGGGGGGAGCGTTTTTTTATGTGATGCTTTGATAAATAATTGTGTACATATGCGTGTTGTGTGTTTGTTAAAGCATGTTTTACTCAGGTCAGACACACAAATGTACTGATTACACTGAAGATGGAGTAGGTTTCATGTCGTAATTACAGTTCTGATGAGGGTTTTTAATTAAACAGTGTTACAAAGGGAAAATGACCAGTGATTCTCCTCTCTTCATTTAATTCTCCAATTAGCCACTATCTAATTGCAAATGTGGTTCCTTTTGTTAACACCATTTATCTTCTTTTTTTTTTTTTTTTACCTTTCTTTGTATAGTGCTTTATACAATACTGATTGTGTCAAAGCAGCTTTACGGAGTCAAACAGGAAAATAGTTTGTCAATAATAATTTCCAGGCAGTAGGTACATAGCAAGTATCCACAGACACTTGAAACAGATGACTGTAAATGACACTAAGCTCCTCGCTACACTCCTTAAGTACCCTACCAGTTATTCTATCAGGACCCGCTGCCTTCCTTGTATTAACCCTTTTAAAGATCCTACAAACTTCTTCCGATGTTATAATGATTTCCTGCCCTACATTCATTTGCTGTCTAATCAAATTCCGTTCAGTTTTAAAATCTGATGTTTCAAATCTACCAAAAAATGTATTTAATTCATTTGCTAAGGCCAAATCATCCTCATGATTAACCATAAATGATTTTCTCTTCTCCTGTCATATCGTGTACACTCCCTGCCATGCCTGCCTTAAATTATTATCTCTCATCTTTCTCTCAATTTTTTGCTTGTAAATATTTTTACACCCAATAATTATTTGCCTAATTTCTTTTTGCATTACTTTAACCTGTGCTCTATCGCCTGTCTGAAAAGCTTGCTTTTTCTTCTTCAATGCTGCTTTTAATTCCCCATTTATCCATGGCTTGTCATTTGGATACCTTTTAATACATTTAGTTTTTATGACATTAGCCACACAAAAATGTATATAATCTGTCACCACATTATTTAGCTCATTTAAGTCCTCACTAGAATCTATAAAGACATGCCATGCTGTACAATCAAAACATCCTCTAAGACAGTCCACAGATTCCTCATTCCATATCTGGATGGTTCTCAGCTCAGGCTTGCTGGTTTTAAGCCGCTGTTTATAAAGAGGAACCAGATGTATCACATTGTGGTCTGAATCACCCAAGGGTGGTTTTGAGTACCCCTTATACGCATTCTTGATATTTCCAAAACACAAATCAAGTACCCTTTCTCCCCTAGTGGGACAAGAAATGTACTGATAAAAATGAGGCAGTACATGCGCTATAGAACAACCATTAAAATCCCCCAGTACAAATTTAGGAGCGTCTGGTGCAATGTTTTCCAACCGAGCAACAACATCATATATAAGGTTTGCCGCAGCCCGGAAGTTCGCCCGTGGATGAATATAGACGACAGTTATAAACAGTTGTCCAAACTCCCTAGGGAGGTAAAAGGGTCTAAATGACAAGGACAGAAGTTCAATATCTTCAGAACAGTAAGACTCCCGCACTGTGTAGTTCTTACACCATCTCTCATTTACGTAGACGCACACACCTCCACCAACTTTCTTCCCAGTTACAAGTGGATCACGATCAGTTCTCACAGGATCACTGAAACCCGCGACCCGAAGTAAAGAGTTGCCAATCATGTCTTTAAGCCATGTTTCTGTAAAACACAGCAAACAACTGTCTCTATACTCAGTGAAATACCTCACAGCCGACTGAAGTTCCGGTAGTTGCTTGGAAAGAGACCGTGTATTGGCAAATATCACTGTCGGTAGAGGCAGTTTATTACCTCGGGCCCGGACCTTCCGCCTCACCCCGGCACGCCGACCTGTCCTCCGTCTCCTTATTGTTTTATTCCCCCTCCTCGTACACTCTTTTGGTAATTCCAGTGAAATTCGATCACCATATTGTCTCAGCTGCCAGAGTTGTTCCCGACTATAGCGAAAAACACCAGTAACAGGGCCAATCTGCTCAGCTGTAGTGGCGTGCTTTCCAGTTGTTAGGATCTGTGTCGCGACTGGTAGCAGCAAATAAGCAATGAACATCAGCCCGTACAGAAGCACTACAAGACGCATCTTTGAGGGCTCCGATAGTTTTCAAATACCAAATAAACAAAACAGACGAAACAAAACTGATGTGCCACAGACCCGCGTCGCCACCGTGCAGCGCCAGAAGTGTAATGTGTTTTGAATGTAATCATCCAGTTCAGCTCTCTTCCAATAGTGTCTGTGCAATCAGTCAAGCGTCCCCAACTAAGCAAGCCAAAGGCAACAGTGGCAAGGAACCTATATCTGAATAAACTCTTTTAACACCTTGCCCGATCTACTTAGTTTTCGATAAATTAAGTGTTCAATGAAAGAAGACAAAACAATTTTAGTATGCTACTGTTGCAGTTTAATTTGATCGTGTTTGATGTTGGTTATGAATTAACAGAATTAATGTACTGCTTTGTGAAAAACTTCCAACAGATGAAGAAAACACACTGCCCTAACAAACCTGTTACTGCTCATGCATTTGCTTACCTGACACGTAATGGAAGATGCTGACAGGGAATTATTTTAACAGAATCCTGGGAAATGGAAGGGTCTCAGAACACTGTGATAAAAATGCAAAGTCCTGGAAGAGAGAGAAAATAAACGTTACCGCAGAGTCACTTTAACCATAAACAGGCAATGTGCACCACAGGATACATATTCCTTAGTCTCTTATAGGAGGCATGAGAAAGAATTTTTCATCCAATTCTGATATCATTATCATAGTTGAGGTTATTTGGAGTATGGGGGTCACATGACTTGGTTCAAATTTTCTGTGCTTGTTTTGTCAGTTTGGCCTAAAGCCAACATGTACAACCTTGGGGCTGGACATTCAGAAAATGTAGAAATTAGGCATATATTAATCTTACTTTTTTCAGCAAAAAATGCAATACAACTGTTAGTATTAATTGTGAACATTGTCTTAAGATGTTAAAAAAGAAAATTAAGCCATATGTTGTTTGTGCTGTTATTTAATCACATTTTGAAATATGTGTATCCCCTGAGATACTTTGCCTGATTAGGGTATAAAAAAAGGGTTATTCTCAATATTGACAATGAGAGGTATCAAAAGATAAACTGTGCCCCCTGTTCTGGTTATTTCATTACGTGCATTCTGGGATGGTGTATTTTGAGGGCTTAGTCGTTCCCCCTTCGTGGTTATGGGGGGTGGGGGTGTAGAAATCACAGTCTAGAGAAGGAGGACCACCTTGATAAAAAAAATTCTCTTTAAGAGGTGGGGAGGAGGGGGATTATAAATCCCATCAAGGGGAGGGGATCCCCCTCAGTAGAAATTGTATTCCAGGGCAAGGGGCCGTTAGGGAAGTTCCATATAGGCCCTCCTGGCCTCTGTGCAATTGTTAATATTTGCTTGTGAAATTGATATTTTTATATTTAGTTGACTACATCTTTGCATTTTTAGCTAGATTTTTTCTTGCAGGCCTTCACACAGCTCATTTTATGGTAGAAGATGGGTGTCCAACCCTGCTCCTGGAGGGCTACCATTCTGCAGTGTTTAGCTCCAACCCTGATCAAACACACCTGAAAAATCACAGCAAAGTCCTCAGGATTACATAAAAAAATTATAAGTTGTTACTAGGGGTGACCCCGAATAGTCAAAGATTCGATGCTTCGATAGGAGGAGCCTGATTCGACTACCAATCTCACAGTCGAATATTTGCGGAGATATTATGATCATGCCATTTTGGCTATATGGGGGTGCTCAATGTCTGACAGCCTATTAAGATAATGCTGTAAATAAGAATCTATTTTATACTAATATTTTAATAAATATTTTAACGTGCGTGAATAAATCCAACCACCCCATAGATTTAAGTTTCACTTTCCATAATCAGTGACTGACAGAGGAGCATTTTGGAGGCAAGAATTTAAATCTTTAAAGTGGTCATATGATGCGATTTCAATTTTTCCTTTCTCTTTGGAGTGTTAAAAGCTCTTGGTGCATAAAGAAGATCTGTAAAGTTGCAAAGACTAAAGTCTCAAATCCAAAGAGATATTCTTTATAAAAGTTAAGAGTCAACCCAGCCCGGGGTCGTCACATGTGGTTGCCGCAAGCCCGCCCGCCGCCACTCACTCTAGGCCTCCGCTCACTCTAGCCCGCCTTATGTTACGCTATGTTTCGTTTTGAAAGCAAAACTACTTTGTTTGTCCTTCCAAAAGAAGACACGACTAGAAATCAGTGGTTAAGTTGTATTTACAACACTG